AGTATGGATGTGGTAGTCGGGCTTGCGTTTGATGTAGCCGTAGTGGTAAACGTTGGGGCTTGCGTTTGAGTTGTGTAGCCGTAGTGGTAAACGTTGGGGCTAGAGTCGTACCCGGGCGTTTGAACCGTAGTTGTAGTCCTGTCGGAGTTATCATAGGGCCATCAGCGGGACCTTCATGGAGTTTGTGATGGGAAGCACCATAGGAACTCTTGTCGGAAAACCTTTGAGGCCCCAACTTGGGTCTTCTAGGATACTTGCCGTCGGAATTCCCGTGGGGATCCTTGTCGGAACCTTCACAAGACGTGACGATGGAGCCGGAGTGGGAATTTCTACGGGAACCATTCGGGATTGCATAACCATAGGAAATGTTATCCAAATCGTTGCTGGATTCGGTGTCGGAACCTGACGGGGGCGAGCCGTCGATGCCGATGCTGGTCGTATTGGCCGGGACGCCACTCTCCAAATAATTGGTGTTGGCGTCAGCGCCGCCATCGAAATTGGCCGCGCGGGAAACGATGCCAGAAGTCGTCGTATCGTATTGATGTTTGTCGTATCGTTTATCGTCCCATCGTTATGTTCACCGCCATGATCATCGTCTTCGTTCGTCACTTTGTTTTGGTTGTTCCCTCCTTCCGTTTCCGGGGATATTTGATGTGACACCACATGCAAGAAAACCAAAATCATGAAATTCTGCAAGACATTATGCACCATTGCGTAATATTTGGTCGTAGGTGCAGGGGTCGGCTTTGTCGATGCGCCTGCTGCTGGACCTGAATGTGGCAGCGGAAGATACAAAATAGAGGTTGGGAGATTCGCTGGACTCGGACATATCAGAGCCAGAGTCGGACCGGGAATTGAGCGGGTCGGAGCCGAAGTCGGAGTCAAACCCGCAAACGTACTAACCGGGATCAGAGCTGGGATGCGCGTGGGAGCAGACGTTAGAAAAAGAAGCGTAATAATCAATGCAAGATCAGCGGGCGCCAGAGTCGGAGTTGGAGTCGGAATTATGCACATCCTATCGGTGGGTTGTTCGGAAACGTCGTCGGCAACAAAGTCGGGAATGCGAGAGCTGGAGTCGGCCCCGGGTTCGTCGCTGCGCCAATCCGCCTCCCCGCTAATGAGATGATCTTGTAAAGCTAGATGTAATACGCCGTGCCGTAAAAGTCGATTAATCCGTGCTTGAACATTAGCCAGAAGATGAGAGGGAACGCACGTGGGCATCGATGTAAACGTTGCCAGAATGCATGTTCTGACATCGCCGGCGCCTCGTATATGTACCTTCCGAAGAAATAGAATTTCTCACATTCGTAACGCAATCGATAACGTCGGACCCAGACTCGCACGAACTGCGAACGTTTCTCAAACTGCTGCTTACGGGCAAGGGTAGGCACGATCACCGGGGTCCGAAAAAAAACAATAATTTTAATCAGGTCGGGAGCTAGAACCGGGGAGTGAAGACGTAATATGGCCAATGACCCTTTGGGAACAGGATAGACGGGAATGTCAGAAGCCGGAATGTGGGGGGCAAATGGATTGGAATCAAGTTGATGATGCCACTCAGCTTGCAATCCGCAAACTGCGCGGCGCGGACTTATCCATAACCACTGCTTGGGGGGTCACTTTTCGAGGGCCCCGCGCGTGCGGTGAGCATGCACGCGCTTAGTCCGAATGGTCCCCATACCTGCACAAGCCCAATCATCATTGAAATGCACCTGATTATGCCTACCTTCCCTGCCCCTGCTGCGCTCCAAGGGTCCCTGCCTGCACGCGCGAAAGTCCTTCGGTCTCAGTCTGCACGCGGTTTTGAATTTATTGCGGCATGCGAATTGGAATCGTTTGGCGTTTTTGACCAGAGGAAATTGTAGAGCGAAGCGTAAGTCGACAGTTCTGCTCATCTGGGGTAGCCTTAAGCCCCAAGAACTTTTTCAGCTCTACCCGGTCGGTCAGGGACGGTCAGGGACGGGGGCATGGTTGTTTTACGGGTTGGCGTCGTTGTTGCGTTTCATCGTTCTAGAAATCACTCTTGCACCTGCATTGCGAATGAAGGAAAGATTTTTGCAACTGGAATCCGTTTCTCATTCATGGGTGGTGGCACGAGAGTCGGAGGAAGAAGGCCGTCATGTTGCGAACGTCTTCACGCCAATTCGGCGAACCGTATCCCCAGCCGCAATGCCGCGAACTCCGGTTTCACCTTTCTTCAAGGCGATAATGGAAGATGCGCGTTGTGGTGCCGATGCTTTTGCAAATAAGTCCGTTACCACATGCAAATTACCGAATGTGGTTTCGTCTTCCAACGTCCACCCCCCGCGACGCAGTGCCAATGAATTCCGAATACTAGTGGGCAAAGTGTTGAAACGTTGCATGCAAACGGTATCAGGAGTGAAACGGCGAAGCCCTAAACGTAGCTAAGTAGGAGGACGAGGAGGAGGAGGAGGACGAGGAGGAGGAGGAGGAGGAGGAGGAGGAGGAGGAGGAGGAGGAGGAGGAGGAGGAAGGGGTGTCTTGCCCCGACGCGGTCGCTGGGAGGTCGTGTCAGGGGAATGCCGGCTCAATGTACGTCGTTGGTAGGCTTGCACATTCGTGGGGCGCGGAGTGTGCGAATGACCGTTGCAGTGCAATCCCAAAAATCCCCCACCATCTGTGTGACAATCCCATTGTGGTGCCTTTTGGTACTCGTCCTGGGAGGTCCCGGCACCTTTCGCGTGCCAGCGCATGGACTTACGAAATAGGTTGAGGGCCCCACCGACCAAAGGCGTCGCAGCCCAAACATTGAAACGATGCCGGTCCCGGCGTAATTATCTCATTGTAGGTAGCGTTATTCTCATTTTCGGCGATCTCCGGTAAGTTCCTTGGTTGGTTGCTGGTGCCAGATCCCAATCCGCTACGTGGAACGGCATTTGGCGCACATGCATGTGCCTGTGCTCCCAGGGGACCAACGACGACTTGACCTCATCATCCCTTTTCTGAATTGCATCTATTTTGTGACGTAACGGCCATCTTCCCCATTACGCGCAGTTGACACTTATGACCCAGCCTCTGCCTCCGTGACACTTGGCGCGAAGCCGATACCATCCACGTATGCGTATGTTCAAACAGGAGGTGTCGCTGGTCCCCATGTTGAATGACCATGTGCGTTTCCGCCGTTGTGCAAGACCCCAATCTCCAGCCGCCGTCTGAAAGCGCACCAGATGTGGCAATATTGTAGCACCAACAGATCCGTAGTGGGGCATATTGTCAGCCATCCTGACGCACATGCCCTCCTGCACGATCGTAACCTGTTTTTTCCCTCTGTGGCCGCATTTCGTCGGGCCAGAGGCCCCCTCCCAGAGTTTGTCACAAGCAGCGGTGCGCACGACGTTCCAGATTTGACGACGCACGGCATTGCCATCCGTTTTCCCAGTTGTCAAATTTTTGCGGTAAAGAGACCGATAACGAGATCGAGAGGTGTCCCGGGTTGTCCCGTGGTGTCTCGTTGAGTGAGATCGATAATGAGATCGATAATGAAATCTTCAAGTGTCCCGTGGTGTAACGCGGTGTCCCGTTGAGTGAGATCGATTGAATGAGATGTTGGTTCCCCCCCTCTCCCCCCACAACCTCCTTATCACCCGAAGGGTGGTCGTATAAGTTCGTTCCAGAATATGCTTGCTATTCCACCAGCTGCAAAATGGGACGCGTCCATGGGGTGACGCATGACACGTGGGTGGCGCAAGCAAAACTTCCATTGCGATTGGGCGGCCTCGGACTCCGAGATTCGCAACGACATGTCCCAATTGCTTATTTGGCAAATTGGGCCGACTTTTTGTTGGGCAGCCAAGGACTTGTCAACATGTTCCCAACAATTGGACCATCTCCGAGCCCTAAGCCCGAACCTTAAGCAGGGCAAGGCGGCGCCGAACTGATTCCAACACCACCCGCCATGTCTCGCTGCAACTGAAACAAGCGATGTTGCGACGATGCTATGATGGTCTAGTCGACCTACCTGAGTTTATCGATCTCACTATCGGTCTCATTCAACGGGGCACCACCGGACACCACGGGACACCTCGGGATACCACATCGATCTCACGATTGGTCTCACTCAACAGGACACCACGGGACACCACGGGATACTTGTCGATCTCATTTGTTGGGACACCACGGGACATTTCGGGGCATCACATCGATCTCGCTATCGATCTCACAATCGATCCCATTCAACAGGACAACACCACGGGGCACCACATCGATCTCATTATCAATCTCACTTTTTGGGACACCACGGGACACCGCGAGTCACCGCCAGACTGACAGGCGGACGGGCGGGCAGGGGAGAATCATTTGTCTTGCCTTCGCCCTAGCAACGGCGGACACCACGGGACACCGCGGGACACCGCAGGGCCAACGCCCGACGGGCGGGAGGGGGATAATTATCTGCTGCGAATTCTCCCTGGCAACGGCGGGTTCATTCCGCTCGCGCCCACGCAGCTTCGCTTCGCCCGCACGCACGACACGAATGAAACGAAACGATTTCCCAGTTGGGGATCTCCGTTCCGTTGCGATATCACCCCTCAGTTTCCGATCCCAAGTATTTGCATGTTTGCATCGTGGATCATAGTCGCATCTCTTGATTGGTTTGGCGTCGCGGTCGGGAGTAAATGGTTCAGCTTCGGGACACCACAATACAGAACATAACCCACGCATATTGTAAGCAAATGAGCTCGGGTAAGATTGCTTCACATTGCCTTCAGCCTGCGCGTTTCCTAATGCAGCAATGTACGTGTCCGTGCCGAATGGCGCGCGTAGATTGCGGATGTTTTGTTCGTGTTCGGGTTCGTCGTGAACCCAAGCGCTTCGTGTCTTGTCGTGAAGGGCAGTCGTCGGCATTTTTTGCTCCAGGCTGCCAGTTTATCTATATCCACGTCGATGGGGCTTATTTCGGCCAGTGTCGTCTTCCTATCGTCGTAAATGGTCGCAACGTCCCGCAAGTGGCAGATTACATATACACACATATATATATATATAGCAGCTACTGCAACGCTCGGGAGGCGGCCAGCCTGCATATAGGATAATCAGTTTTTTTGTGTCAAGGCTCGAAAGGCGGAAGCTGCCCCACAGACGCGGCGGCGGCTCGAGAGACGCAGGCAGCCAGCAGACCGGCTTGCCAAAACTGACAGACACCTCCAGAGATGAGGGTGGGAAAGGGGAAACGACACAAACGGGCGGGAGAGCTTGAGCAAAAACAATTGCGCACATATGTTGACGCATGTTATGCCCTCAACACCGCTCCGCGGCAACCGTGCGGCCGCTCCAGCTCTACATCTCTGCAAAACGATATAACATCTCCCAGCAGCTACTGCGGCGCTCGGGGGGCGGCCAGCCTGCATATTAGATATTCAGTTTTTTGTGTCAAGGCTCGAAAGGCGGAAGCTGCCCTACAGACGCGGTGGCGGCTCGAGAGACGCAGGCAGCCAGCAGACCGGCTTGCCGAAACTGACAGACACCTCCCGAACCCCGGTCGCCTCGTCGAGCTCCGACATCGAGCTCCAGTCCAGGCGGTGGGCCGAGCAGAAGGCCACGAAGCCGTTGAGGAGCGCGCGGTGCGCCGCCTGCGTCGCCGGGCGGACGGCCGCCAGCTCCAGGGGGCTCAGCGTGCCGCAGGGTGCAGAGCTCTCGATCAGCGCCGTGGCCAGCGACATCCGCCGGCGGACGGCATCGGTCGGTCCCGACGCCAGCCGACGCCGCGGGGAGGCCCTGGCTCGGGGCATGGCCGCCCGCTCGCGGCCTTGAGCCACCGCGGGCTGCGTCAGAGAACCAGGGGCGCTTGCCCCGACTGAGAGGGTCCGATGGGTTGTACTCCGACGGAATCCACCGACACCGAAGGCGGGGCCCCGTTGCTAGAGACAGCATTGCGATCTTGAGCAACGGCACCTTCAGCAACGGCGACGAGGCACGGCCCTTCCACACGGCGAGGCAGAGCGGAAGGTTGTCGACGAACGCCAGCAAGCGGCAGCCGAAGCACGAACTTGAGCGCAGCAGATGGCGGTACGACAGCAACAGGGCCTCGGCCTCCAGCTCTAGGATGTTGTACCCTGGGTCGACGGCGGTAGCAATGACCCCACCCCGGCGGCACGGCGCAAGCAGCGATCGAGGAACTTCTTCGAACACGGCGGCCGACGGCTCTATGAATGACGCGTCCCCGCCCACGAGCTCGGGGGGGAGGGGGGGGGTGGCGAACGCTGGGAGGAGGTAAGTCATCAGCGGCCTCGTCGCGCAAGGCGCTCTCTTGGGCCCTCTGGAAGCCGTCCACTCGATAGCGCCACCGCTCGCTAACGCGCCCGATCCGGGCCACCTCAGAGCGCGGCGCCCGGCGGCGGCACACGCCCAGCCCGAACTCGCTGGCGTCCGAGCAAGTGACGTGGCTGCTCCAGGGGGCCGACAAGTCGCACGCCAGCAGCGGCAGGAAGCGCCGTACCTGCCACAGCTCCCGCCGGACCGCGGGCCACAGCTCCTGGAGGTCGACGCCGTTCACCTCGACGAAGGCGTAGGCCGTGTTGAGGAGGGCCAGGGCCTCTCGTCGAACGAGGGACGTCCACGTGATGTGCCCCAGGAGGATCCGGAGGAGGTGGCCCGACACCTTCTTGCGGCGGAGGACCTCCTCGATGGCGTACCGCAAGCGCCAGACGTTCCGCCCCTTGACGGAGAGCCACCGCCCGGCGCGCAGCTCCAGGCCGAGGAAGGTACAATCCCCGGACGCGCTCTCGGCGTCGTGGACGTGGATCCCGACGCGCTGGAGCTGCTCAGAGACCTGGTCGACCACAGCGTTGACGCGGGCGGCGTTGGTGCCAACGGCCAGGTAGTTGTCCACGTATCCCGCGCATCCAACGTCCGTCGGCTGAGAGAGCGAAACCGCCGGCCGCCCGTCCTCATGGTCAAGGAGCTGGGCACCCCGGCGCGGTCGATCGCGGCCCTCAGCACGCGCTGGCACAAGTGCGTGGACCACGAGAAGCCCATCGGCATGACGGTGATGCACCCCTGCACAGCGCCATCAGGAAGGTCCGGGACGCCGGCGGCTCGAAGGAAGGAGCTGTCGATCGGCGGGAGCCGGAAGTAGTGCTCCATGCCGGAAGGCATCCGCATCTGGTAAAAAGCGTTGGTGATGTCGTCGGCGGCGACCACGCATCGGCCTCCCTCCGCCTCCAGGTCCGAGAACGCCGAGGCGGTGGGGGCCGCGTGGACGGGGCGTCCGCGAAGTAGCAGTTCGCCGTCCGAGTATCGAATATCAGCCGAAGTGATCCGTCCTTCTTGGCCGCGCAAAAGGCCCCCATGCACTTCGCGGAGGGGTCGTGGGCCGCGAACGTCAGCATATCGCGCCGCCAGAGTTGCAGCAACAAGTCGGAGTAGAGGGTGGGCGAGCCGGCCAAAATCGGGTCCAAGTGCGGTCCACGAGGGCAGGCCCCCCGAAGAAGCGATTCATCATCTGCAACGGGACGTAGCATGTTCAAGCGCCAGTCCTCAAGCCACGAAGTGTCCGGCGTGTTGAGCAGGCCCTGCAGCGGCGCGGCATGCTCTCCAGCGCGCGGCCAAGAGACGGAGTCCCTCGCATAAGGACGGGTGGGCCCGCCAGATTCGTATAGCGGCGACCCTGCGAGGAGCTCGCCAAGAGCCCCCTCGCGCAGCCGGCGCTCCTCGGACGGCTTGGACAATCGCCGGCAGTGCCCGGTCACGTGCTCCAAGGCGCTCCGCTGGGCCGATGTGCATGGGCCCGACGGCGAGGCGCCAGGGGGAGAAATGGAATTCATGACGGCGATGGCGTCGTTGGCCCAGGCGACGCAATGAGCATGCTCCTGACGCCGGCGAAGGGCTTTCCGAGACCGGCCGTGTCCAGGCCCCGCGGGTGCAACTGGAAGAGCCGGCAGTGGGGACAGGTCACGCTGGCGACCACCCGACTGCGAGCTGCCACGCAACTGCGTGGACGAAGCGCCGGGGGTACAGGGGTCCACTGGCGGGCAAGAAGGCGCGGCCGCTGGCTGCCCAGGTCCAACGGCCGACAGGGGGTCGCCCGTCATCGTCTTGATGGCCCTTCTTGTTGCCCTTCTTCCCCTTGGTAGCCAGCGCGCGCTCCTCGCGCGCCTTCCGGCGCTCCTTCCCCGCTGCCCACTCCTTCGTGAGCTCCTCCTTCAGGTGCTCCGCCAACTGCGGCGAGACGCAGATGTTGCCGCGGACCAGGTCGCAGCCCAAGATCAAGTGCGTGTCGAGGTTGTCGCCCTTCGTCTCCAGGGCGAGCCGCTCGCGGCACCGCTCCTCGTGGAGCTGCACGATGCGGGCCAGCAGCTCGCCCGACGCGAGGTCCACCACGTTCAGCTGATCGTAGATCGTCATGAACTCGAACAGCCTGCACGCGCGCTCGTGCTCGGCGACGCCGAACTCCGAGGTGTGCAGTCAGGCCTCGGTGCGCCATCGGGCGTGGCGCCCGAGGGGTGTCCCGCCGTTGGTCTCCATGAAGCGGAGGGCCCACCACGTACGCGGGCCCTTCACGGGCCAATCTGGCCACGTGTGCTCGACCATGGCCAGCGCCGCCTCCCGAAAGGCCCGATGTCGCTGCCCGAGCATGTCGTAGCTCACCGAGCTAGAGAATGCGCACGTCGGTGGGGGCGGCTGGCGCGGCCGGCGCGACGGCCGCGGCGGCCCCAGCTCCTGGCACCGCCGCGAGGGCGGCCGGCGGGGGGGCGCGGGGCCGCGCCTGCCGCCGGGGGGCCGCCGAGTGCGGCGGCTAGACCGGCGAGCCCGCCGACGCCCGCCGCCGGCGCTGCGGGGGCAGCGGCAGCGATCGGCGCCGCAGGCGCCGGAGCCGCCGCAGCCGCCGCTGGGACCACTGGTGGTACCACCAGCACGCCGCCCGCGGCAGGCGCGACGCCCGCCGCCGCCCCGGCGGCAAGCCCAGCGCCCAGAGCCGCTCCGGGTGCAGCGGCCGGCGGAGCCGCAGCGGGTGCCACCGCGGCCGCGCCCGCGGCGGGCGCGCCCGCGCCAGCGGCGCCCGCGCCCGCGCCGGGGGCCCCCACGCCGGCGCGGCCGGCGAGGTTGGGCACCGCCCGCGGCCCCGGCGGGAGCCCGAGGCGGCCCTCGGCAGCCGTGCGCAGGGCGTCGCAGGTGGCGGGCGCCGGCACGGCGCGGAAATGGTGGACGTGGGCTGCTCCCGTCGCTGGGTTGCCGGCCCCCATCGCACCGCCGACGCTCGGCAACCAAGCCGCGATGTCGGCGCCAAGGGTCCCTGCCGCGAGCAGCTGCTCCTCGTCGCCGTCGGGGTCAGGATTGTGAGGTCGGTCCGATGCGGCGAGGCGATCAGCACCATGCGCTCGTGCCAGACCTCCGGCCCCGCGATGTCGTAGCGCTCCAGGATGAAGTCGCCCGGCGAGATCCCCAAGCTGGCGAGGTAGTCGGCGACGTTGGCCGCCATCGCTGCTGAAAGCCGAGCCGGCGAGTGCGGATCTCGCGCGCCTGCTGATTTCCGATGTCCTCCAGGGGAGCGATCGGAGCCACGAGCGGGCCTGACGTGGCCGGCGGGCCAGCAGCCGGCGGCGCGCCCGCGCCGCTGTTGCGCAGCGCCAGCAGGACGCTGCAGGCGCCGGCAGCGGCCGACACCGCCGCCAGGGCGAGGGTGCCCGGCAGCGTGAGCCCGGACACCGTGTTGTCCGAGCTGTGGCCGCCCGGGCAGGTGATGCGCGGCTCGCACGAGCACGCGCAGGGGAGGCACTTCACGCGCGCCGAAGAGGAGGACGCGATGACACCAGCGCCTGCAGCCTGGCCGGCTCCCCGCAGCAGCTCCCACACTGCTGAGTAGAGCACCTCCATCAGCGAGCCCGCGGGGCCCAGAGCTTGAGCAAAAACGGTTGCACACATATGTTGACGCATGTTATGCCCTCAACACCGCTCCGCGGCAACCGTGCGGCCGCTCCAGCTCTACATCTCTGCAAAACGACATAAAATCTCACACATATGTATATATATATATATATATATATATATATATATATATATATACATGCATGCATGCATGCCTGCATGCATGCATGCATACATACATACACACGTACACATGTGTCATCCAAGTGAAAAGCGGATGCATTTCGTTAGAGACGCGCTCGACTGCGCTGTGATGCGTAATTGAATGCCAAACAGAAAAGTACCAACATAAGAGCGTCACTTTGTTTACCTGCACCGTTTTGGAAGATGCCGCACGCATTCTTTTTGTCGTCTGCCCACTTGCACGGTGATCTGATTCCGCACCATCGTTTCACAAGCAGTGCCAAACCCAAATGAGCAGTGTTGCCCAATGAGAGATGATATTGCCATGACATCTCTGATGACCGCTGAGATCTTGGTCTCACTCTGTCTACTACGTAGTAAAAATATAAAACGAGATCTGATATTTGAGGCTGTTTTGTCATGCCCGTATCGACCGACTTCCCCACAGATTTCCATTCAATCCCCGTCTCGTTTGTCGCAGCACTTGAGCAAATAAATGTTCGTGAAGTTCAGCAGCACGCGCCAGGGAAAGTATGTCGAGGGCTCTTGGAAAGACAGCACTGCAGAGAGACTCAAGGGGCCACCAAATCATCATGAGTAGCGTGGGTTCTTGGGCTAGTTCGCTTGAAATTTGTGCCTGGGTTGTTTGGTTCAATATGAAGGCATTCCTATATGTTCGGCAATGGCGGGCGCCATGGGAGGGAGGGGAAAGAGGGCGGGAAGGGGTATGACGTGACGCCCCCCTCCCGCCGTGTGGCTCCGGCACCACAGCCGCGCCCGCGCGCACGAGACGAGCGACGAACGACGACGACGACGCGAGCAGCATGTAAGTGGCGATCTGCCCATTGCGCCTGTGTACACCACAACGCTCGCGTGCACCACACCGCACCACACCGCGCTTGTGCACCACAGCGCCTGCGTACACCGCAACAGCCGTGTGCAACGCAGAGCCCGCGTATACCACAATAATTCGGAGCATTGCAGCGCCGGTGTACATACACCGCAGCAGCCGTGTGCAGCACAACGCCTGTGTCTACCACAGTGCTTGCGTGCACCGCAGCGCCTGTGCACGCCACAGCGCTTGTCTACGCCACAGCATCCGCGTGGAACGCAGCGGCGGTGTACACCACAGTACTTGCGTGCATAAGACAGGTAGAAGGAGCATGTACATCAGGATCTGATGTGGACAACTAAACCTCACGCCAGGAAAGTTCTGATAATCGAATGCGACGTTTTTCCATCCTCCTTCCACCTCTTCCTCCTCCTCCTCCTCTTCCTCCTCCTGCTCGTCCTCCTGCTCCTCTATCTTACCCCCTGTCGTGCGGCTTGACGGCGCAACGCACGTGCGCATCTCAGCGTGCACCGCAGAATGGTCGATTGAATCGGGCCATTTGGTTCTCGGACGGCCAGTTTAGCTGGAGTTTCCTGGACGCAAATGGGAGTTAGGGTGATGCGGGCGGATTCGGGGGGACTCGTAGATTCCAGCGGCGCTCATTTGTCCATGATGATTTTTTTCCATGGTTTTCGCTGGAATTCACACGCGCTCCATTTTGTCATAAGGATTCTCTTTGAAATTCTATACACAATAATGGTGCTGTGTTGCACACGGCTGATGTGGTGCACACAGGCGCCGTGGCGTACACAGTCATTGCAATGCACGCAAGCATTGGGATGTACACTGGTGCTGTGTTGGTGTTGCGCACGGCTGATGTGGTGTACAGAGGCCCCGTGGTGTACTCAGGAGCTGCTGTGCCCGCAGACACGGTGGTACAAACTGACGCTGTGTTGCACGCGGCTGCTGTGGTGTACGTCGGCGGTGTGGTGTACACAGGCGTTTTGATGTACGCGGGCATTCTGATGTACACAAGCGTTGTGGTGCATATCGCCACCTACATGTTCGTGCTACCCGTCTTCCGTCATTCCAAACCATTCCCAAACGCCGCCGGCGCGAAACGTGACGTTATCGACCCCCCCCCGGATGATTGCCGTCATCGGCCCATATTTAAAAACAAAGTTCAGCCGCGTCGACGCGCACGACGACGGTCAGCGACGAACCACGAGCGACGACGACGAACGACGACGACAACGACGCTTGCGGACCAGATACTTATGCGGATTCTCACGCCAACACCTATGCGGATCCCAATGCGCACGGCGGCAATGCCTGGAGCGTACCGGGAGAGGGAGCGTTACGTCATAGGAGAGAGGGGGGGAGCGGGGGCCCATGACGCACGTCATGCTTCAATAAAGAAATGGCCTCCAGTTTTCTTATGCTAGGTTTGAGGTTTCGAAATTGTGGTCGTGTTGGGTATTTTTTATCGCGTTTGCGTGGTGTTTTGGGCTCTCGTGCGTCTTTTTTCCCAGAGATTCGAATCGAACATCGCAATGCAATTTCCTGAATTGCTGTTTGCAGTTTGGTCTCCAGGCGAGGGCGCGTGCAAAAGCATACGTTGCAACACATGGAAAGGTGTTAATTCAATACGTGTGCAATCACTCCCCGACGCGTACACAAATAATAAGGATCCGGAAGAAGAACAACTTATATTGAAAAACGTTTTGGGCACGATTGTCCGACTGACTGTCGAAACATATTTGAAAGATTGATGTTTCTTTTTTGTTTGCGAAATTCGTTTGCAACAGGACATGGCCAACCTACATTTAAACTTTGCGACGATGGATGGGGAACTCTGGACAGTGCGATCGCCATGCCGAAGATTAGCATGTCAAAATTTCATCGCGTAAATCTCGAATAGACATGTTTGCGGTTTTTCCGTGCAGTTCGCAGAATTGAATATTTTTTAGCATGTGCGTGGAGCCATAAAGATCAAGACCACCATTACAATGAATCATTATGTGGCGCATGTTGTGCCATATGCAATTGAAATATCACCAAATATTTGCAACCTGCGCCGTCTCATTGAACTTATGTGATACACCCGCAAATAACAACATTAAACCATCGTACCAATCGCCGTCAAAAAAACCATATGTAAGATACAAGGAAAAGAGCGCGATTGCTCGACGCATCCCTGGATAATACAATCGTTTGCGCCGACTAGATCGGAATCAGCGAGCCAGAATATCCAAATGCTTATTTCGAATAAGTCGGATGTTGGACGAACCGGTTCCAAATCACGATGCCCATGTGCAGAAGACTTTTGCTTTCCATTTCCTGGGTGGTGCGCTATATTGGCATCGATCGAATCTTCATTCGTTTTGGGATCGGCACGCGGTTTTGAATTTATTGCGGCATGCGCATTGGAATCGTTTGGCGTTTTTGACCAGAAGAAGTTGTGGAGCGAAGCGTAAGTCGACAGTTCTGCTCATCTGGGGTAGCCTTGGAGCCCCAAGAATTTTTCAGCTCTAACCGGTGGGTCAGGGACGGGGGCATGGTTGTTTTACGGGTTGGCGTCGTCGTTGCGTTTCATCGTTCCAGAAAACACTCTTGCACCTGCATTGCGAATGAAGGAGAGATTTTTGCAGCTGAAACCGGTTTCTCGTTCATGGGTGGTGGCACGAGAGTCGGAGGAAGAGGGCCGTCAAGTTTAACCTATCTGAATTCTTGCAGAAAAAGAAAACTACCTCTGACCTATTCAAGTTTAACCTATTTGAATTCGATTACGGAACTTGGAAAAAAAACGATTTCGATATCCATTGGCGGTGCCTGCTTACCTTGGCTTCGAACCTTCTATCTTGTAATATTGTGTTTGGCATCTGCTAAAATGTAATAGGATGTCCCCGCGCAAATAAAAATTGAGCCCGATATCAAAATGCACATGCACATGGTCGTCAATGTCGAAATGTCATCGTCAACCGGAACAAGCATCAAAACCAACAAAAAGCCAATGGTCTTGTATCTATCAGTATGTGGAAGATCATTGCCAGAAAATACATTGGAAACGTGCCAGCCAATGGGCCAATGGTCGAAGCGATCCAATACAGAAAATTATGTTAAACGTGCGTTTGGCTCAGAATACACACGGCGCTGTATTGGAATTGGTCCGGACACGACGGTGGAAAGAAGGTAGCCGGAATTGAGACTGACACGGATTAGGGCCTTAGCGTATTGATTTTAACGCAGAATGGTGCAATATCAATTGCGTACACAAGTTGCGTTCCCTTTTCGATTTTATTAACGGGTCGTAGTATCCAAATTGCACCCGTTGTGTAAACGCATGTCAAGATACCTCCGGTTTTGGATAATCAAATTCGGTGCAGAAATCGGAAATGAACCGATGCCGCGATGAAAACCGGAAATCGAGAGAAAACCACAATGTGTTTAAATCCCAATGGTTTCGCCAGTATTTGCTGTAGAATCCCAATTCCGTAAAATTTTAAGTCGACCATGCTGTGTTCGTTTTGAATTAATTGACATTCAGATATCTTTGAAAATGGGTCTGGATTAACAACATCGGTACTAAAATCTATCAAATACAGATCTTCCGTTTGAAGATCAAAAGCCGTGTGAAGATGTTGGGTATGTAATTTATGACATGTCCGATGTCCGAGCAATTTCAAAAGAAACATATGAGATTTTGATTGGCCTCGTCATGTTTTCCTCCCTTTCCTCTATCAGATGTGGCAAATACTGAAATCACGGATAATTTGAACGCAAATCTTTGAAATTAGAAATTTGTGCGATCCGCTTGTAAATTTATTAATTTTGCCCCCATCAGTCGGGGAATCCAATCGCTTTGAGAATTATAGCATGAAGAAAATTTAGCATCGTATTGCATGGCAACCTGCAATAATTATTGTAATGGCCTATGGCATATGCCGCTGATCCGGGGGGCTGCGGATGTAGTGATCTTCTTGTCTCTGTGGCC